GGCTGAGGGAGCTGGGTCTCTTTAGCTTGGAGAAGAGGAGACTGAGGGGTGACCTCATTAATGTTTATAAATACATAAAGGGCGAGTGTCAGGAGGACGGAACCGGGCTCTTCTTGGTGATGTCCTATGATAGGTCAAGGGGCAACGGGTGCAAGCTGGCGCATAGGAGGTTCCATATTAACCTAAGGAAAAACTTTTTCACTGTGAGGGTGACAGAGCACTGGAACAGGCTGCCCAGGGAGGTTGTGGAGTCTGCTTCTCTGGAGACATTCAAAACCCGCCTGGACGCGTTCTTGTGTGACCTGCTCTGGGTGGTCCTGCTCTGGCAGAGGGGTTGGACTAGATGGTCTTTGGAGGTCCCTTCCAACCCCTAGCATTCTGTGATTCTGTGAAAGACAGAACAAGAACAGAGGCCTTTGCATTCCAGCTCTGGTTCACATCAGACAGAAACAGCAGTCCTGTGTCATCTGAGGCATTGCCATGGCTCAGCCAGACATCACTGACTGAATCCCAACTCACCCATTGCCTGCCCAAAACCATATATCCAGTGTTATTGCCTCTTAGCATCTCCTTCCTTTGGACTGTCCTCCCATCATCCAAGCAGTTGTTCCTGTCTCCAGCCTTAAGCAGAGTCCAAGTTCCCCACTCCTTTACCAGTCCACGCTGAAGGCCTATGTGACACCTGGGTTTTGAACAGCTCTTTTTCCATAGAGCTTTGTCAGAGGGCACCTCAAAACCAGAGTCTGGCTGAACAGAGCAAAAATAGGACCAGACAACCAGAGGAATTTCTGTCCCACAGGAGAGGGGAAATGGGGATATTTTGGGGTCTGGATGCATGTAGAAGACAGAAGTGCTCTTCTTCATTACTTAAACCAACTCTTTTCTCTCTTAGGTATCACAACCGTGTTAACGATGACCACCCTGAGTACCATCTCCCGCAAGCACCTTCCCCGTGTTTCCTATATCACAGCCATGGACCTCTTTGTCTCTGTGTGCTTCATCTTCGTCTTTGCAGCTCTCATGGAGTACGCTACACTCAACTACCTGGTGGGAAACAAGAAACCACTTGAGCACAACAACAGGAAAGCCAGGCTGGTAGGTCAAAGGAGCCAGCAGAGGTGGATGCTGTTAGTACCCCAGGCTATTTAGAAATATCCCTCCTGAGCCTGCACTGGAAACTGCTGACATGGTTTAGTGCCTGACCCATACTGTGTTCACAAGGTCTTCAGACCACTGTGTGGGTCTGAGCACCTGGAAGGTGTGACATGACCAGAAAAAGCAACTGAGGTTCCCTGTTCTCAGAGCCAGGCACCCTGTGCTCTCTTCAAAGTTGCTGGAAAGCTTATCAGTACAGTTTAGGATGACTCATACGATCAAAGGTAAATGTCCACTCTAAGACAGGGTGATCCACACCCAGATTCTTCCACCTGATTGATATCTGTGGATTACAGAGTTATCTTAGGTCACAGAGATGCAGAAACCTCCTTTCTTTTATGGTCTGTCAATCAGAAGACCTCCTGAGTGTGGTGATGGTGAATCTAATGTGGTCATCATCCTCTTGAGATCTGCCCAAGCTCATGGCAGGTACTTCAGATACATCAGCTGAAACAGACCCCTGAACTGGGATAGAACTGAAACCAAAAAAGACAGATCTCTTCTATGCCATTCTCATTTCCCAGTATGGGTGGAGAGAGCTCTTCCATGAGACCGATGATATGCCTCTTCTCCTGGGCCAAGAGGTTATGAGTCACACGCAGCCTTTCCCAACTTTTCTCCAGCAACTGACAGCAACCAGAAGACATATCTGTACTGTGCTGTGTCTTCAGAGACAGCTGAGCTCAGGGGAATGAGAGACGAGGCTAGCACAGCTGAAACCAAACAGGTCCTGTTTCTGCCCTAACTGTTAGTGGCAGAGATGGGGAATCAGAGCAATTAGATCTTTGCTGACTAAGGCTATGCCCTTGGGTGCCAGGGAGGAATATCACAGTCATGCAGGGTGATGCCAGTCCCCACAGTATGCCAAGGTGGTGATTTACAACCAGGTGCAGAGATGGGGGATAATGAGTCATCCCTCTCCATTGAACTGCACCTATGCTATGAACTGATCTATGGCCAATTGGATGGGTTTTGGTGTCTAAAACATGTTTCCTTGCCTTTTCCTTCCCTTTAATCCACCTACCCCTCTTCATTACAGCCACCTGCCAGTGCACAGGTGATGCCATCCTTTACCACCATCAACATCAACAACATCATGCACTGGCCCCCAGAGATAGAGGAGGATGAGGATGAAGACCCTGGCTCCCCGTGCCTGGAAGGAAAGGAATGTGAGAGGTTCTTCTGCTGCATTGAGGACTGTCAGACTGGAATGTGGCGGGAGGGGAGGATCCGCATTCACATCTCCCGCCTGGACTCCTACTCTCGCGTCTTCTTCCCCACCGCCTTCCTGCTCTTCAACATTGTCTACTGGATTGCCTATCTCTATCTCTAGCCGTTCTTTGTGCTCAGCTGGAATTGACTGGAGACCAGCAAGATGTGCTTCTCAAGGAGCATAGAGAACAGCACCTCCTCCATTGTAGTCAATTGTCAGTCTGAACAATCCAGCCTGGTGATTCCCTCTTCCTGCCCTCTCATCTCCTCTGAGAAGAACCAGACAGCTTTTTTTAGCCTTCTAACATATCTTTTTAGAGAATCTACCCTTCCAAACAACCCCCTCTCCAGCACCACCAGCATTTTACTCCCTGTAAGATTGCCCAAAAACATCCTATTCCCATCTTGAACATTAGGGATTTTGTCAAAAACTAAAACCTTAAAGCATTTCATTTTTCCACCCAATCCTACTACAAAATTCCATGGGAAGTGATAGCAAATCGAGTTTTCTGCATAGTTATTAAGACTGCAAAGGAAATAAAGTAGATCTTACAATTTCTGCACCACTTCCACCAGAACAGAGTTTGTGGAGTGCTAGAGGCTTGGAAGGGTCAGAAGGAAAGTGTGAAAGGGGGCAGCAGTACAGCTTTTCCACAGTAGCTGGGCTTGGCTAAAATGTTTTGAACCTGCCCAGAAAGCTGACAGTGGCACTGACAACGATGGAGTAGCTGCAAGCCTCCACCAGCTCCCCGTAGAGTATCTGTAGAGCACTCCTCGTGGATCACTCCACTTGTTGTACCAAGTGGCACCCAAGGCATCTGCCCCACTGAGGTGTTGCTGATTCTTATTGGATGGTGGTAAAAAGCACTTCACAAGTTTGAAGGGCCCATCTGCCTTACTGAAGCAGACCCTTCAGGGCCCACGGTGACATTCTGCTTTGTGATCAGGACTTTGAGAAGGCTATGGACCTTACATTTGGCATAGCCAAAAGAGGGAGGAAAGTCTTTATGCTACAAAGACCAGAAGCAGTCTCATGAGCCCGTTGTGAGGTAGCTTTCTTTGTCCTGTCTCATGTGAGTTGGGCCCTGTTGTACCATGCATCATATCAGGGCAGTGCTGTCCTCCACAATGACACTTGTTGAACCCAGCAGATCCGTGCTTGGTGGTAGGTGCTAACCTGAGAAAGGGGTACTAGAAAAGGTGCAGCTACCAGTGCTGCACCTACCAGTGGTGGGGAGAGAGCATTC